TTAAATTTCAACAAAAATACGACATTAGAGAACAAAATACATGTGGGGGAGTACAGAGAAAATGCATGTACATGAGTTTGATTACCATGGAAAGCATTACCCAATAAAATACATAGTTTAAATTAGGCCTGGGCGATAAAACGATATCGATATTTATCAACGGTACACCTTCTTCGATATCGCTAGAAAAATTGTTACACATAGCGCACGATAGGGCTGGGCGATATAGCAAAAAAATGTATCAACAATGTAATGTTTCATATCGTTCGGTATCGATAATTATTGACGTGATGATGTGATGGTGATGTAAGTGACGTTGTTCCTTTTTAACGTTTTGTTAGTCTAGCCCACGAGATGCGCCGCTGCTGCGTTATTCATTCAAAATATTAGAGAAATGTAGAAGCTCAATGCGGAGAAGATCTTGAATGGGTTGAAACCGAAACCAAGCCATTCACACAGAACGCATATTCAGCGCATTTTTTAGACGGACAAATATGACTGCTGCACTCGCGGCACACAGAAGAGATGTATAGAAAGCCATGCAAAGTTAAAACAGTTTAAACTTTTAGAAAAAGCGTCACAAATTTGTGGAGGTTTATTCCTTTTCACTGCGTCTCATATGTTTTTAAATGCAGTCTGTGTGATGGGCACTTCGGCTCTTTGGAGTAAGCAATGCATAAATACAGCAAAAATATGATGCTGTTTTGTTCATAATTGTTTATGCAATTTACAAAATTATATTTGATTTTTATGAGTTAATTTAGACGTAATGCATGTTTTTATAGAGTTACTTCCTTGCGTTGACAATTTAAATGCGCTGCATTATTTTGCTCATTGTGCCCTCCTGTGGCCTCGGGAGACAATTAGACCTATACAATAAAGACCTATTATCATTAGAAATTAGATATTTGTTTAATTTTTATTGTGTTTGATTGTTAAAACTAAAAATATTTGTTGTTTGTCTCAATAAATTGTGTTAATTATAAATATAAATAAAAATATACAGTGGTTAAATGTAAACATTTCTTTTCTATTGCTTTTTGTTTTAAAAAAGGTTATAAAAAATGTCAATAATTATCGATACCGAACGATATGAAACGGTTATATCATTGGTACATTTTTTAGCTATATCGCCCAGCCCTAGTTTAAATGCAATGTTTTTTTTTTTTTGCAAAACTTAAATTTGAACAAAAATACAACATTAGAAAACAAAAAACAAGGGGGAATACAGAGATAAAAAAAGTAAATGGGTCATGAGTATGATTCCCACTGAATGCATGAGCTAATAAGTCGGGAAGTCGTGGCCTAATGGTTAGAGAGTCGGATTTGTAACCCAAAGGTTGTGGGTTCGAGTCTTGTACCGGCAGGGATTGTAGGTGGGGGGAGTGAATGTACAGCGCTCTCTCCCACCTTCAATACCACGACTGAGGTGCCCTTGAGCAAGGCACTGAACCCCCAACTGCTCCCCGGGCGCCGCAGCATAAATGGCTGCCCACTGCTCCGGGTGTGTGTTCACGGTGTGTGTGTGCACCCGAGTATGGGTCAACAAAAATACAACATTAGAAAACAAAAACAAGTGGGGGAATATAGAAAATAGCAAATACTGCACAGTTGGGTTTAAACTGAAGGTGTCTAGCTTTGTAAATATGTTGTTTACCCATCATACAAATGAAGTTTAAGACATCATCTAGCACCTTATAGCCACCTTGAATGCAATGATAATCACTTTGGATAAAAGCGTCTGCCAAATGTATTAATGCAAGTGTACTTAATGTCGTTCATGCATGTTCAAATGAAGACTCCAGCTGTGTGTGTGAGGACTTCTGGTCCATCTGGAGTGTCTCATGTAAACCGTGTCAGATCAGAGTAATTGTGTGGTTGAACTGACCCACAGGATGGTTTTTGAGCAAGCGCTCCGTCTGTGGGGACTGAAGCTCTTCTGACAGATTGTTTATAGGTGACGAGTTTTAAAACACAGGTAAACCTCCATGAAGACATTTACAAAAGATTTTATTGTCTGGAAAAGCAGCTTGTTATTTTTTAGGACCAAAGTTCTTAAATTCTTTAATTCATCTAAAGGCTTCTTGTGCTTTTTAAAGAGCCGTGGCCTTAAGAAACTCCTCATGTTTTGACATTTCTATGATGTTTTCAGCATTTCTTTTTCCTGTTTTTACTTGTTCCCTTGTAAGATCTCGTTTGGAGTCATTAAGGACACTCTCAGCACGTTTAGCGGCTGATTTAAATAATTGGTGTGATTACCTTCAAATAACAGTGGAAGGAGAACTTATGTTAATAGCAAATTAAAGATGGGGATGTTGTAGATAGAAGCGCTCAGAAGATGTAGATGGGCACTCGAGTTGCATTTTAATAGACTTCAGACTCAACTCCAGACTCGACCTGAAAAGACTTCAGACTTGACTCGACTCAACAAGAAGCACTCGAGAATATTTTAAACACAACTCAAGTGTTTTATCCTTAACTACTGATATCATGAAGAAAGAACTTGGGAGTTACTTGTATGTTTTTACTATATCTGTGCCACATATTTTACATGTTATTTTATTTAAATAAAAATAAAACAAGTCAAAAGAATAGAAAAAGATTAGAAAATGCTAGTGTTAGAGGGTTAATTTTTTTTATAATAAATAAAAAGAAGATAGAATAGAAAAAGAATAGACAATGCAAGTGTTAGACATTTGGTTATATTAGTGTCAGAATCAGGAACTTCATGAAGATCGGCTAGATGCAGTGAATGTGGGAAAACAATTAAAGATACTGGAATGACCACATACCTCTTCGAACGTTTTACATCTTAAAATGCACCCACAAAGGTTAATAACATTAACATTAAATATGATGCAGTGTGTCCTGTTAAAAACATGAACGAAAAATCTAGCCTTAAACCGAGCATGACGTTTTATCAATATTTTTGTAATATATGGCTTTATTAAAGATATGGCTTTTCTCTCTCTTAATGTGTATGGGTTTGTGTGTGTGTGTATGTTTTTTCTATCCCGGTGGGGACTTAAACCTGAATACACACCAACTCATGGGGACCTAAATTGAGGTCCCCATGGGTAAACAAGCTTATAAATCATTTATTCAGATGCAGTACCTAATAAAAGTAATTATGTCTACTTACTGTCTATTTAACGTTGTAATTGGTGCTATTAATTACGGAAAAAATAATGCGTATGGGTTTATATATTATATAAACTATGTATGATATAGTTTAGCAATATCACACGAGCAAGAGTGCTGTTTTCCCGAATATCTGCACGATTGCAAATGTGATATAGATTTTAATACAATAGTTCAATAAACAAGAAGTTAATATCATGTGAAGTTTTAGACACAATATTGTATTGTCTGCTTTGCTCAGTTTCGCAAATGAAAAATAGTTCAAACAAAGCCACAACAAAACTTTTGTGCGACTCTAAGAAAAACAGCAGTGTTTCGTTCCTGAATTAATCTATTTTACGTTTTTTTTTCCCCGAGTCAATGATTCACTTGCGCCACCTACTGGAAGTTTTAGTTTCATAATTTGATTATCATTTCATTTAAAAAAATAATTTCATATTTCAGTTCTCATTTTAGTTCAAACAAAGCCACAACAAAACTTTTGTGCGACTCTAAGAAAAACAGCAGTGTTTCGTTCCTGAATTAATCTATTTTACGTTTTTTTTCCCCGAGTCAATGATTCACTTGCGCCACCTACTGGAAGTTTTAGTTTCATAATTTGATTATCATTTCATTTAAAAAAATAATTTCATATTTCAGTTCTCATTTTTAAAAAACCATTAATGTTCATCTATTATAATTATTTATGATATGTTGAATCAAAGTAGGAATTTTTTTGTAATGTCTATCCAATGCTGTACTCATCTAACACAATGTTTTTAAATGATCTTTTGGGGGCTATATTCTCATCTAAAATTGATGTGGGATTAATTATTACTAGAATTAGATTAATTAGCAACTAGTGGCTACATCATGGTGTTACAGATGATTTTGAATATGAACGGGCCTCCTCAAATTAATAATTTTACATGTATTTTTGTATCTTGGATTGACTCTATGTACAGGTAGAGGAAGACAATTTGAGCTAGATTCCTTGTAGTATCCCTGGAACATATTTTGTCTTTAAAATACAAGCTTGTAAATAGGATTTTAAGGATGAGAATTTATTTGCAACAATTAATGAAATGACTCCAGACTCGACCCGGACTCGTGATGAAAGACTCCAGACGTCTGATTCCAGCTTAAAGACTCAAGACTTGACTCGGACTTGTGGACATTTCTGGCTCAGAAGGTTTGCAGCGGATTTTAGAAACTGGTGCTAATTATCCTTTAAAGTAAAAGTTGTCAACTCATGTGAAAGAGCTGATTTTCCTTTTTTCTTTTTCATAGGAAAGAGTAATCACAGATTAAAATGTCAGTCTCTAATTTTTCTCCTCAGTATCAGTCCAGTGAAATGGAGAAAGTTGCTCTTGTTTCTCAGATATTTCTCCTAATAAGCTAATATTTTTCTCCAAAATGTCTCAGACTGTGCTTAGATATGCCAAGATTCCTCTATCTGCAGTCAAAAGTCAGAGATCTCAATATGAACTCAAAGAAACAACTGAGACAGAGTTGCTTGTATAAGTCTCTCGAGCTCTTCTGGGTGGTTGGATCAGCTTTGCTGACCTTCCAAACCACAGAGGCTCATCCAAACTCATTTTGCTGAAATTTCAGGAAATCAGGTTTGAAAATGAGCCGCTGGTGCGACAAAACATCCTCTCAACATATTTGTGTTTTAAATGCAGGTCGTGTCGGTTCATCATAACAACTCTTTGTTGTTTCACCACACATTGGACCTTTTTGTGGAAGATTTATAAGACAGGACAGATGTAATTTTCTCTCACTGAACTTCCTTCCAAACATCTGCGCGGTGATGTGTTTTGTTTGATTATTGATATTTTTTTGTAACATCTGCATCTGCTTCTTTCTTGTTTCAGCTAAGAGGTTTGGAGTGACGGACGTACCGCTGGATGCTGTGAACTTCATCTCTCACGCCACCCAGTCCAGATTACGGACGGTGCTGGAGAAAGTTTCCTCCATCGCCCAGCACAGAATGGACTCGTGTAAGGTACGAGACTTGTGGAAGAGATGCTTTTATTGTTTATATACAGTGTTGGGGAAAGTTAAAGCAATGCATTTCAATATTGCGTTACTCCCTAAAAAAAAAAAAGAAATCTGATTACGTAACTCGCATTACTTGTAATGTGTTACCCCAACAGTGTTTATATATGTATCCTGTGTTGCTGTAAATAGTTTTCCTGCAAACGACACTAACATCATCTGACAGTCACAAACACACATTGGTTAATTCGGCTGCTCACAGCAAAAACTAATCAAACATCATTAACATGAAAATAATTTGCTAGAACACCTTAGCAGCTGCCTACTGATGCCCTAGCAAAGCCATAGCAACCACCTTGTGTACCCTAGTAACACCTAAGAAACCACCCAGAATGCCCTAGAAACCAACTTTAACATCCTAGCAACCACTTTAAAAATGCCCTAAAAACCATCTTGGACACCCTAGCAACCACCTAGCTGTGTCTTAGCAACTGTACAGAACTCTTTGGCAGCACCCTAGCAACCACATACAACAGCCTAGCAACCAACCACATCACTCTAGTAACAGCTTAGGAACACCTAAGCAACCACCTAACAATGCCCTAGTAACAACCTTGTACACCCTAACAACCACCCAGCAACCACTTAGAAACACCTCTCTAGCAACACTCTAGCAACGGCTTTGCAAGACCCAAGCAGCCACCTAGAATGCCCTAGAAACAATCTTGAACACCTTAGCAACAACATAGCAATGCACTAGCTACCAGAACTCTTGGCAGCACCCTAGCAATGACCCAGCAGCCATCCAGAATACCATAGCAACACCATAGTAACCACCTAAACAACCCTAGAAACCATCTTGAACACCCTAGCAATGCCTTAGCAACCAGAACTCTTGGCAGCACCCTAGAAATGTTCCAAAATGCCCCTGCAGCCATCTGGAAAACCCTAGCAACACCATAGCAACCACCCAAACTGCCATAGAAACCATCTTAAACACCCTAGCGACCCACTAGCAATGCCCTAGCAACCAGGACTCTTGGCAGCACCCTAGCAATGACCCAGCAGCCATCCAGAACACCATAGCAATGCCATAGCAGCCATCCAAACTACCCTAAAAACCATCTTGAACACCCTAGAAATGCCTTAGCAACCAGAACTCTTGGCAGCACCCTAGAAATGTTCCAAAATGCCCCTGCAGCCATCTGGAAAACCCTAGCAACACCATAGCAACCACCCAAACTGCCATAGAAACCATCTTAAACACCCTAGTGACCCACTAGCAATGCCCTTGCAACCAGGATTCTTGGCAGCACCCTAGCAATGACCCAGCAGCCATCCAGAATACCCTAGCAGCACCATAGTAACCACCTAAACAACCCTAGAAATCATCTTGAACACCCTAGCAATCACTTGCCATTCTGACTGGCTGTTTTACAGAATAACTTGACTGGTTTGCTGAAGTTTGTGTTAATAAACTTTCTGTTTGTATGCATTCTATTGTTAGTTCATTATGCATGTCTATGTGTGCAGTTTTAATGTTTAAATGTATTAGATATATGTATATTTTTCACTGTTAGTTCATGTTAACACACGCAATCGTATTGTTGAAGTGTTGCTGAAATGCTGCTGTTGAAGTGGAAACTTTTGGGCACATGAATTACAAAGAGACCGAAGCAGACAGGTAAACAAACCCACAGCCAGAGAGTCCAACACACGCTTTACCCGCACAGCCGAGCGCATCACATTAAACGCAGCACTCTTTCAAGAGACTCGCGTTAACGGGAACCCAAAACAAACCCACAAAGGAGGAAAAGCAGGTGGCGGAGCGCTTTAAAAGCTGTTCATTTGTGTACATGGCGAACAGCTTAGCGAAGAGGAACGCCGTCACGGACGCACGTTTTGGTTTTTTGTTTTTCTGTTTGGTGTGTGTTGTGGTTTTTTTGTTGCGTCTGGCGCTCTCCGCTCGCTGCTTTATAAATGAGCCGTACGAGACGCGCCTGTGTGAAGAAACTGACATCAGCAAAAAACAAGAGCGTCCTGAAACAGGCACGGCTGACTTCATAGCCATCAAAGCACAGGAGAGACGGAGGCAGGGATGAGAGGAGAGACGAGCTAATCAGAAAATGAAAAGAGGCAGGGATAGCGCAGGAAGTGCGCAAAACATCGAGGTCGCTTTCTGAAGTAAACATGTTTTTTGCGTTCCACCCATAAACTTCTGTCTCACCTGCCTAAGAAGAAAGTTTTCATCATGATTGTGTCATAAACACTCATAAATAAGTGAAAATGTGCATCAAAACTGACCTCTTTCTCTGTGTCTCTCTGCAGGAAGACGAGTGGCACGAGCCGTCGTCTGATGTGCGCTCGCAGCTCAAGTTTTTCGAGCAGTTGGAACGGATGGAAAAGCAGAGGAAAGATGAGCGAGAACGAGAGATTCTCCTCAGAGCAGCGAAGGTAATCTGGCACCTCGTGATCTCTCAGATCCTCTCGTTTATGGCACATAAATGTTAATGACGGGATCTCAGCTGCAGGAAAACAGAAGTTCTTCACACTTCTTCAAATACATGGGTTAGATCACCCACGCTTATTAACTCTTTTCCTGCCAGCGTTTAAAAAAAAAATAAAAAATTGCCAGCCACCACCAGTATTTTTGATCATATTCACAAAAGTGTAATGGCACCCAGAATATTTTGTTGTATGAATATCTAAACATGCAATATAGCAAAACAAAGAACAGAGTCTCTGGTTTTAAACAACAACAACAACAAAAAACTGTTTTATTCTAGCTTCATGCAAACTTTTTTATCAACACTTGAATGTAGGTAAATTTCATGAAAAAAGCAATATTTTGAACAAAAAGCTGAGAAAATCGCGTTTTTGTAAAAGACTACATCTGGATCAGATTCAGAACGATGATCAAAACATAGATGGAGTAGATCGCTTCCATCAACACATCCACATTTTGTTACATGAAATAAAATACACTTTTAAATGAAGAAAATTAAAATGGAAAAAGTATATATATTTCAGCTAGGTGCCAAAGCAATATTTTTCTTTTCACTTAATTTTAGTAAAAAAAAAAAAATAATAAAAAAAAAAAGTATAATAATAACAATAATAAAAAGAATTTGGCATATAAAAAAAATTATAATAATAAAAACTGAATAAAATCTAATAAAAATGACAAAAACACACAACAAGATTACAAAAACATTAAAGTTATAATGAAAATGCAAAATGCAAAAACAAAAACTATGTACAATATAATATAATTCTCAGTAGTATCTCAATGATCCTGAGCCAATGACATTAGATGAGCTTTGGAAAGACAAACAGAATAAATATCTGAGTACATCACTCACAAATCAAAAGCATTCTTGCATAATTTGTTGTTTAAAATAAATCAAATAACAGATCTCTAAGTTCTGTCTAAATCATTCTGCAACACATTGTACAGATATCAAATTACAATAACAAAATTAATTGGCAATGGCAGTTTACCCAAGAATGTTTTTATTTACAGAGAAATGCTCTTACTCATCTTTCATGAATTTGGCCTGTTATCCCTGGTCCGCATCCATTGATGGAGCTCAGTGTGCTGTGACTGATCACAGATCAGCCCACAACTTATCTGAAGATGCTGGAACAAAGTTTACCTTTATGTGTAGTGCGGTGCGTCTGATCCTGTGAAATGACCAGGAAGCCCCAGGAAACAGAGGCACCACAGTGAAATATTTCGGCTCATTTCCGTCATTAATTAATATAGCTCAGAGACGATGACCCACCGTAAAGACCCACTCGCACGGCCGAGTCTCCCCTCCCTTCAGCCTAATGCCATTATTATGCCATAGCTCGACCACGCGGGAGATTATATCTCCCAAAACCAGACAGTTTAGCTCATACGCGAGCGCGAATGGCCACACCGACCTCTGTGACTTTGGGCCTGGATGAGACGTTACGCAAGCTGATGTATCGCAGTTGTTAGGGATTTCAACTCCGCTGAAGCCTAAAATGCGATCAAGGAAACATGCATATGTGTTTCCAGCTCAAATGCATTGTAAATGTATCGTCTGTAGCTCTCTGAACTCAACAAATCATTGCCAGTGTAGTCTGGAAACAATGAATGAATGAATATTGACAGACAGAACAAACAAATCTTGCTTTATTTTGGGTTGAGGTCATTGTGAGGGAGCAGAAACCCAATCGTTTGTGTCCTTGTATTCTCGCTCTCGTCTTTAAGCTCAGCGCGATTTGACCCCTTAAACATGAACCTTCTCAAATAAATCTCATCGTTCGTTTCAAATATGACTGGAGTCTTTGGGGACGAGCACGAGGGCCAGGGGCCAAACGCATTACTCTCAGCCAAGATAGCGACCAGTACGTGAACCGCCTGATATATTTAAAACCAATTAGCAGCGAGGAAGGGCAGAGTACTGCCGCCCCTCTCCTCACCGAGAGAAGGGAGAGTTAGGAGCCGTTCTCATGGGGCAATTAAAAAAAGACCGGAGACCTAAACACAAAGCCCTCAGGATCACACGCACACACCTCACACATCTCTCTCGCTTTAAAAGAGACAAAATGAGAGTAAAATCACACAAGGCCACGATTAAATGCTTCAGCAGAGAGAATTACCCTCTCTGACCACACACACATAAATGCACAAATCCAAACACACGAGCAGGACTAGAAAGCTGCAGGGATGATGTATTTTTGTATGTTAGCATCACCCTGGTTCCCTCAACAAGATTTTGGATTATTGCAGAAAATAAGCTCTGTCACCAACAAAAGTTTATGATTCTTACACATTTCGTTCATCAAGATTATTTCCACAAATGAACACAACCTTTATGAAGCCTAAATGCGATCAGCAGAAGTAAAAAGCTGAAGTTATGGTATAAGAGAACCATACTATGGTTATAAACTTCAATGTCCACTAAACTTCGGACAACTCTTCAGAATCAGAATCAGAAAGAGCTTTATTGCCAAGTATGTTTGCACATACAAGGAATTTGTTATAGTGTCACAAGCTTCCAGTACACTGAGACAACAACAACACACAGATAATAAAAGTGAGATGTGAATAAAAAACACATGCATAAATATAAACCACAAAAAAAAAGAATAAATTGTATGTACAGGTGTGCTATAGATGGAATAGGAATATAATAAAATAAAATAAGTTGTAGGGATTTAATGCATATTTAAATACAGTGCCTCCTTTGCATATTTAAACATAACATTTTGAAATGAATTTATTTTGAAATGAACTGTTTTCCCTCCATGTAATGCATGAGTTACAAAATAAAGATGCTTATTTTAAATGTCGTAGAATAGAAGGTGAAAATACCTTGAGCTTGTGTTAAACACAGACCTTATTTCAGGCATGTGACCAAAACCCCCTGACTTCAGCATGATGGAACCAGAAGTGCAAAAGTGCTCATTTCTGGGTTTTAGGACTCATTCCTGCAGCACTTTATGTGACGAAAGGGCCACTAGATGCATGTTTGGGCTTACAGTTTCGACACTGGCACAAGCATGCACACACAAATTGGAATAATTGTTTAATTTTCTACATTTGTATACACACACACACACACACACACACACACACACACACACACAGGTTTGTTTTTATGGTTTATGGGGACTCTCCATAGGCGTAATGGTTTTTATACTGTACAAACCGTATATTCTATTGCCCTACACCAACCCTACCCCTAAACCTACCCCTTACAGGAAATTTTGTGCATTTTTAGATTTTCAAAAAAACTCATTCTGAATTATTTATAAGCCTTTTGAATTACGGGGACACTGAAAATGTCCTCATAAATCACCTTCTCGTTGTAATACCTCTGTCATACCCATATTATTATTATTATTATTATTGTGTCCTCATAAACCACATAAACATGCACACACACACACACACTGATGAGTGTCAGGCTGCACCTGCATTTGTAACTGTGTGTGTGTGTTGTGTCTTTTGATTAGTAGTTGCCTATGGCGGTATGTGTGTTCGTGTGTGTGTGTGTGTGTGTGTGTGTGTGTTTGGAGGGCACAGCCGTAGGCGTAGAATCACTCACCACTGAACACACACACACACACACACACACTCCGTCCTTGACATATAAGATCTGCCCTTGTTTGTCCTGAACTATTTTAGTGCGGCAGATGAGGTGAGCTTACGACATGCGCTCACCTGCCGTCTGCCCGTCTCTCCCTCCATCCTTCCTTCTGTCGTTCATCCTCCCTCCATCTCTCTCTCTTTCTCTCCCAGAGTCGCTCGCGGCAAGAAGATCCAGAACAAGCCCGTCTGAAGCAGAAAGCAAAGGAGGTGAGGCTTCCATCATTACCACTGACATTTCAAGGCTCCCGCAGATGAATTTTTTATGTCGTGCTACATATGTAATGCCATTTAAAGTCTGACTCTGGGGGAAAAAAAAGAAAGAAGAAAGTTTGAGGAATTATTTTAATTGATTGATGTCCTGTGAAAAAAATGAGCGTTTTCCTCTTTCTCTCCAGCTCTGAGCTGGTATTTAGGAGAATGTGCTGTGCGGGGCAGAATGGGGAATCTGATTGGAGATGAAGTCAGAGTTTTTCCCGTTTGACGGATAATTTGCAGAGTCCATTAGCATCATAAAGGCGGATGGCGTGGCGCTCGATCTGGTCCTGTGCTCGCAAGACGGGAGACAATTAGTAATCGTTACTGCGGTATGAGGCACAAATTGCTTGCTTGTGTCTTCTCCTGCATTGATTTTGGTTTTTTACGCTGCCAATTAAAAGTAGTGCTGTTCTCAATTCCTGGTAGATCTAATGACGCGCTAGTTTTAGGGAAAACAGTTGACTTTGATGCGAGGCTGATGCATGTGTTTGTGGTATTTGTAGAAACAACTTCAGCTTTAGACGCATGTGTTTGTGACGTGCACTGCGATGTTTGCACTCGGGCCATCACTGATGGTGCATGGTGCTGTGGATGTGAGTCCAAACGAGCCCTGTTTTGAAAACCTCCTCTGATACGAACACAGAAATGCATTTGTAAATTTGCTCACTTGGTTTGATTGTCCGACCCAAAGCTGAGTTTTATCCCACCCTTCCACCTGCAGCTATGTTTCTACTGTCAATTTGAGAAAATGACTTTGCTTTTAAAACTAAAACTAAAATGGATAAAGAACAAGCAAGTCCTGTGTGGACATCAGAGTTGTGCAAAATTCTGAACTGAAGAATTGACTTTTTTGCAATTCATGAGTTGGAATTTGAATGGAATTGGCCACAACTCTCAGGAAGCTGAATTGGACACTTACATTTACGTTTACATTTATGCATTTGGCAGATGCTTTTATCCAAGGAAACTTACATTGCTTTCAAGTTACACATATTATCAGTGAAAGCTTTCCCTGGGAATCAAACCCATAACCAAATGTGTTATTAGCTAGCACTACAGGAAGATTAATTAAATGTGTTAAACATAAAGAATGATACGTATATGAATTAAAAAGGTTTCTAAACAGATCAAACTTTATTATTATTCAAAGTTTGTCTTTGCAAACCTTTTTTTTCTAGGTAATAATTCACATGCCGTTATAAGAACTTCAGTTCATTTTACATTTATATTTATGCATTTGACGCTTTTATCCTTAATTACATTCAAGGTATATACATTTACATTTGATCAGTTCTTGCTTTTCCTGGGAATCAAACCCATGACCTTGGCCTTGTTAGTGCCATACTCTACATGTTAAGCTACTGGAAATTCTACCTCCTTAAATTCAAATAGCAATTCTGCATCCTGTCTGAAACGGGAATTAAAATTTAAATTGATTCTCAATTCAGTTCTGAATGGTGCACAGCCCTGCTTGACGAGCTGCGATGATAAATGAATTATACACACCATCTATAGCGGTTTACTCTCATGCATTAGGCAAGATTGCTTTTGTACTAATTGTGAACAATCCCCAGACCCCCATTAACTATCTAACTATCTTATACCAATTTTAATGTTCTCTAAAGAAAATGCAAGTGTTCTTGTTCATGCAAACCTCTTTTTTCTATGCTGAAGTGGTTGCCAAGGGGTTGCTGTGCAGTTGCTAAGATGTTCTGAGTGTTTTTCAGCATGTTGCTGTTGCTACAGTGTTTTGGGGGGTTGTTAGGGTTTTCTGGTGGTTGCTAGGTGGTTCTTTTCTGTCTAGTGGGAAACGTGATCAGTAATCGTCTGTTCTGTAGATGTGCATTTGTGGTATTTTTTCACCTGTTTCATGGTGCAGCTGGTGAAAATGATGCATTTAATTACTTAGTAAAGAAACAACGCACCTTTTCTCAATAGCACACATGATTTGAGGAATAACAGTCTGCAGCATAAACGCTGAACATTGATACTTAGTTCTAAGATTTGGTAACTAATTGTCACCCGTGTATCTTCTTCACTAGATCTCCTGACTGTCATCTGTCCATCTTTTTTTTAGGTATCACCCTTGTTTCCTCTCACTCTCTCTCTCTTCTGCTCCACATTAGAGAGGTGTAACCCTTTAGAGTGGATTGTAGTCTTCCCATCAGCCTGTGCTGTATGTAAATGAGGTGATTTGTAATAGGCTGTGCCTGAGGCCGTGTGATCAAAGTGGATCTCCGCCCTGTTAAGTGGCAGGCAGCTCATCATCTCAACACAGCCAGATTAACTTTCCAACCACAGAACGACTACTACAGCTCTCACACACACACACACACACACACACTCGCTCCGTCTGTGTCATCAAAAACTCCCAACTTGTTTCCAATCAGAATTTTAAATAGGCTGAAATCTCACTTTTATTTGCTGTTGCACCAGAAATGGTGTTTTTCCGTCTCTCTCTCTCTCTCTCGCTCTCTCTCTCTCTCTCTCTCTCTCTCTCTCTCTCTCTCTCTGCGCGCAAACACACTCCATCTCTCTCTCTCTCTCTCTCTCTCTCTCTCTCTCTCTGGGCGTAATGGCTGTGGTCGTTTCTCAGTGCGGTTCTTCCTCCGGTTTTCATCTCCTGATTGGCTGCAGGCGACAGAGCTGCTGTTTGCGTCTGTCGTAGAGGTTTCGCACATCTGCCCAAATTTTCATCAGGATAATGAGGTTGATCTGCACTGCTTTCACTCTCTGTGACGGGTAGAACGACGAGAGAGAGGTTTATTACTCATAACCACACCATGGACACACACACACACACACACACACACACACACACAAGAGAGTCTTTCTGCATCTCTTGTCAGTGTCACTAGTAGTCACATTTATACCAACAACTTGATTTCACAACTCCTGATAAGATTTGCACAACAATTTAGTTTAAGGGGAAATGTAGTTTAAAAAAATTCTCTCATTTACTCTGCCTCATGTATTCACAATTTCATTTTGTGTTCCATAGAAAAGATATTTACAGGTTTGGAATGATGTGGGTGAGTAAATGATGACATAATTATCATTTTTGACTAACATATCGTATATCTTGTCATATATTTGGGACTTTTACACCTTTTGATTTGTCAGATTTAATGTCTTTAATGTCTCAGTTGTTTCTCCTAGATTGCAATCAGGGTTGGGAAGGTTACTTTCACTACAGATTACAAAATACATAAGTTTTGCAACTTAATCTAAATACTTTTGAATATTTTGGAACACTAATCAGGTATGTAAAAAAATAAAAATATAATTACTGATGCTCAAGAAGGCAACTTGATGCATTAAGAGCCGGGGTGTGTAAACTTTCTGCATTGGATAAATTGTACTTATTTTGTCTTCTGGAAAACATGTAAGTAGTAGCTTTTGAAGGGCAGTATTAAATAAAAAAAAAAGATCTTTAAACAAAATAAATTTACACATCATCATCCTATTCAAAAGTTTACACCCCCTGCCTTTAATGCATTGTGTTTCCTTCTTGAGCATCAGTAAACATTTTCACCTTTTGTAATAGTTGCGTAAGAGTCAGTTAAAAAGATGGATCTCAAAATCATACAGTCATTGTTGGAAAGGGTTCAAATACACAGAAGACGCTGAAAGACCAAAGAAAGATGTCTCAAACTATGCTCAAACCAGCCAAGATACCAAAATCTGCAATCAAAAGTCTGAGATCTCAGCTTGGTCTCAAATATTCCTCATCAAATTCTCCCCAAACCAAACAATCTGCTCTTCTAAGCACATTCATTTTATATCATTATTTATGATATAAAAGTTCATATTGAGATCTCTGAGATTTGATTGCAGTTGAGTGCAGTTTGAGACATTTTTTAGGTCTTTTCTGCCAATCTGTGAGAAGTTTCTCCTGAGTCTTTTTCAATTTGCTCTCTTTTGAAATCGCAATTGTGATATCGACGAGATCTGACTTGTGATTTGTCTTTCCTTTGGGAGACTCCATTAAACGAGCGTCTGCCTCGACAAGCGCGTGCATCTGATGGACAGATGTTTTCTGATCGGGGCAGGTTTTCTATCATTTGTCTTTTTCTGCCCTTCACAAACATCCGATTCCCCGTAATGTCATCGAGCACGTGTGTTCAGGAACCTATTTCCACAGTCCTCAGTGATGCCCAAAGGTCAGATGGGATATTTTTTTAAGTGCCCAGGGTGAAAATCAATGACCAAAAAAAGAGACAGGATGCAGGAACCGGGCCGCCCACTCTAATCAGCAGCGCCTCACCGCAGATACAGCGAATCTGCAGAGAAAAGCGGAGAGATTGCGAGGGGACACATGACAAATAGAGAGAGGAAGAAGGCAAAATAAAGTGAAAGAAGCCGCAAATACATAAAAGAGAGCGAGCGAGAGAAGCCCTGGCAGATACATCACTGTGTCAGGTCACACAGACACTCTGCGGCCACAGATTCATCATCGCTGCCCCGCTCTCAACAGGAGAGGAGAGGAGGCAGGGCAGAGGACACAGAGTGACCACTGCTGAACACCTGGGTAAACTGGTGCGTTTGACCTCAACAGCCCCTGGTCCAGCGCTCCCGCCGGCCGATGTGTCACAGACAAGGACAGAGTAACAGAGGTGGCGTAAACGTTGGCTCCCGGTGATGCTAAACGCACAAGTTTGAACCACTGCTGATGACTGTGAGTGGACATCAAACACAGAAGAAGGTCAATCAGAGATCTTTAGACGCGACAATTTAATCTGAGACCAATCAACAGATAAATCACATTCTGTCATCATTTACTCACCCTAAATATATATATATATACATATACATATATTAAATATATATATTTACACCCTAAATATATATATATATATACACCCTAAATATATATATATATACATATATTACATAATACTTTTACATTATACTTTTGTTCAGCAAGTGTTAACTTGTTAGTGCGTCTGCTA